GGGAGCGCGCGGCGAGCGGAGCGGGGTGTGCTGGGGTGTAAGCAGCACCTCCTGGGGTCACCTAGGCAGTGTTTTGGGAGGAGGAATCCTTAAAGAAGGGATTTTTTGCGTTATGAGCGGGGTGGAAGAAGAGTTAGGTGGCTTTAGAAGTGTAATATCCAAAAAAAAAAAAAAAAGGAAAAGAGGGGCTCTTCTCTGTGGGGTGAAGCCCCAGCTGTGACCCCCAGGGAACTCTTGTCGCATGTCTTTGGGTGTTTCTGGCCCGTGAAATGGGGACAGAAACAGGGTAGCTCGGCCTCGTGAGGACTGTACGCGGTGATCCACGTGAAACTGCTTAGAACAGCACCAGGCACTGGTCAGTTACACGTCAAGTGTAATTAATTTCCGTCTCCGCGTTTTCAGATAATTCAGAGTGACTGTGAGCTTGTTTTTTTAAATTGAAAATCAAGACACGTGGTCTGACAAGCCACGGGGTGGGTTTGCAGGGACAGTGGGATGCAGCACTGACACCGAGAGCCCGCCCTGCACATCCCTTATTCGTGTACACGTGGGTAAATTCGTTTAGCAGCATGAGGCTGGTGGAAGCTTTGAGCTAATTCCCTGGAAAGTGGATCGTTGATGGGGAGGACCTCGGGGCTTAGTCTATGTGAGCGGCAGACCTTTTTAAGTGGAATGAAGTTAGCTCTGCAAAGGTTTACTTGAAGACCAAATAGACGGAATTTGGGGGAGGTGTGGTGGATGTTCCAGAGAAGCCGGATTTGACTGAGGGTGAGGAAACGTTTCTAACCGCACTTGCAAAAACAGAATGCGTGTTATTGTGCTATTGCAAGTTCCTGCCCTCTGGGAATGTTCAAGCAAAGATCCAGAGCAGCCTAGGTAGACTCTAGAGAGCATCACTTTCTGCCACGATGGAAATACTCTGTAATGATCTGTGGTACCCACTAGACACAGGTGGTTCTTACACACTGGAGATGTGACTAGGGTGCTGAGGAACTTAACCTGTTAATTTTACATGAATTAAAATACGAATAGCCCCATGTGGCGAGTGGCTGCCTTATTGGACAGCAGAAGGTCAAGAATCTCTAGACTCTGAGACCCCTTCTACTTTGTGATTTGGTTGAGTTTAAATCAGAGAAGCCAACTCTTGGAACACCTATTGCCTTAGGGCAGCGATTTTCAATGGGTGTGCTGCCTGCCTCAGGCACACAGGTGCACCACAAGAATTTTTAAAATATGCAATACCTGACTCTTTAGTCAGGGGCACTGACCTCTTTTCCCCTTAGATTGTCAAATAAAAAAATGACAACAGCCAACACAATAATAGCTATCTGGTGTGAATGAATCAAAATTATACCTATATTTTTTTTTGTCAGCTCAGCAAAAATGCAATGTATTTTTTGGTGTGTCACAGTATTTTAGTAATTAGTTTATGTGTGCCACTAGATGAAAAAGGTTGAAAATCGCTGCCTTAGGGAATCATAATTATATTCAAATAATGCCTTTCATTAAAGTACTCTAGTTCAAAGCATGGATCTGTTACTAGTTATTTACAGCTTGACAAATTAAAACAAAGCATTCTTTTGTCTCCTAGGTTGTACAGCTAGTGCCAGATTCATTTGGAGAGCCATAACAGTACTAACCGGAGTTTCCTTTAATCATTATTGTACTATGTTGTGACCATGGTTTCCTCTTATCTTTTATCATTTTGGTTAGTTTTTAGCAAAAACTTTTCAACACTTTTATTCTTGAAGTGTTTTTCGTTTGAAAGACAGTGTCTTTTTTTTTTTTTTAACATTTGAGCATTGGGCCATCTTAGAAGTAGTTCTGTGGTTATCAGTTTATAAGTATTCAGAACTTTTAAAGAGATAAGTCTGAAACTTGGTGATATTTTGCAAGATTATTTTCTTTGAAATATGTAGATCTGTTTTTTTCTTCAAGCAAATGTTTATTTGAAAATAAAACTTAACTGTGGCCCGATGTCTGTAAAATGGTGACCTTCGTTTCAAGGTTGAAGATAATCATTAGATCTGGAACAAAACTTAAAGCTCATGAATTAAGCATATACAGAGAATAAGTCATTACATACAATTCAAGATAGTTGCTCTTATGTAGGGTGACTTATACCCCACTTTTTCTGGGACAGTCATGTTTGAGCCCATTTGTTCCAGCATAGTTATTAATAGAGTTCCTTTTACTATAAAAAATGCCCCAGTTGGAACCACATAATAATATGGTTTCTATACTTTTAGGTTTGTTGAAAATTGTAATATGTAATTTTAGGAGGATTAACTATATTGCAGTCTTAGAAATGTACTTGCTTTTAAGTAGTGACAAAGTTATTGCTTATGAGCTTAAATAATAGATGAGATATCTAGAATAAGACTAGCAAGTGACCTGTCCATTTAAGCCACTGGTAATTTAAAGATTTTGCTTTTCTCCTTAAATCTTGGGCAGCTTGATTTTTGGTTCTCTCTAAAAAAGTGATCTTTGGTGTGGGAGGTTGCAAAGAGTTAGGCCATGTTAGTTAAATCAGAAGATTGAGTTTTGTTGTTGAAAATAATGCCTGTTTTTATTTTACAGTGAGGTTGAGTAGTGAAATCAGTCAGAAATCTGCTTTTTATGTATTAGAATGTTAAAGAAAAATTTTGCGTAAAGTTCACTTAAATAGTAAGCCAGATGCATTATTATATTAATAGAGGCCTGGTGCACGAATTTGTGCATGGGTGGGGGGGTCTGGCCTGCCTGCCCCCATTGGGCCAATTGGACTGGGCCGGCCAGGGGGAGGGGATGCAGGAGGTTGGCGGGCCAGCCCTGTCCCTGATTGGGGTGGGGGGCGGCAATCATGGGCAGGGCCAGCTGGGGGAAGGGGCCATGGGCAGTTGGCCGGCTGGCTCCGCCCCCTGGTCGAACTCCCAGTCAAGCCCCCGGTCGAGGGGACAATTTGCATATTAGCCTTTTATTATATAGGATTTGAATTTATACTATAGTGAATACAATATTTTATTGAGAGACACACTTTGCTTGAGCCCTCATTTCTCTGATGGATAAATAAAGTAACTCATGTGGTGTGTTGGGTGTAGTGACATAGTAATCACCATCTCTATAGTCCTTTTTTTTTTTTTTTTAGAATACCTATTGATTTTTAGAGAGAGAAGAAGGGAGAGGGAGAGAGAAGAGAGAAACATTAATGTGAGAGTGCAACATCTATTGGCTGCCTCCTGCACTCTTGCACCCCAACCTGGGCATGTGCCCTTGACCAGAATTGAACCGGCAACCTCCTGATGCATGGGATGACACCCAACCAACTGAGCCACACCAGCCAATGGTCACTTGCTCTACCTCTTAAGGGTATTGAATAATGGATCTGGAAAAGATACTAATGTTCTGAAATGCATTGTGGATGGGTTCAAAAGAGCACTTAAAACTAATTCTGAAAACCAAGGTTTAGTCCTTTTCTGCTATAATTTCTCTTTGTGATTTTAACTGTTTACTTCTCTGAGCCTCAGTTACCTCATCAGTGAAATGGAATTGGTACCTAATCTTACCTCCTCACAGGGTAGTCGGAGGCCTCAGATGAGAATTATATAAATTGTCGTGTGTTACACATATTTTATATGTAAGTGGTTTTGTTTCATCTTGTCTACCTACTACCTCCAGTAAAGACTGACGCTATATCTGCAAAAATTGTTGTAAATTTTAATTTGTGAAACAGCACATAGAGTGTAATAGGCACCATTACCCAAAATTATTTTCTTTAACCAACCGTACTGTAAGTAACAGTAATGATGCTTTCTTGATCTGGTTACAAAATATTCTCTACACAAAACAATTCCTTACTACTGCTAAGAGAGAACCCACATTTTCACGGGCACTTGAGGTGTTCCTTTCGTTGTGCTAAATGCTACATCTTATTTATTTATCCAAACTATTAAGTCATTCCCACTTAATAGGTGGTATTGATGAGGCTCTTTCTGGAACTGATATCAGGTTATTTTTTTGCATTATACTACTGCCTCTAATAACAGCTAGTGGTTATTGAATGTTAGGAGGATAATGAATATGTAAATTGCATGCTATCTGGCATATGTAGTAGTTGAAAAAATTGCTGTGTTTGTTGAATTCATGGGACAATAAGTTGAAATGTGAATGTACTTTATAAATTGTAAGTACAATACAAATATAAATTATTTTAAAATCTCGAAGTGCACTTTTGCTATTTTAAATGCTGTAGAGGTTTTTTATGACTGAATCCTGTCTACTAGTATTTTACTTTTTTCATATTTGTTTCTGAATCTTTAAAAGACAGCTACTACTAATCATACCATTCTTTCTTGGAGAATATACATGTTTAATGATAATACTTTGTGATATGTTTTCAAGAAGCTATACTTTTGGTTGAATGATGATTCTTCTGCTTATTCATCATCATCATCATCATGAATTGAGAGCTTTTCATACAGGCACTGTCCTAAGTGCTTTATAGACATTATTTCATGTAAACTATGAGAAGAGTATTTTTAATTTCTACTTTAAAGATGAGGGAACTGAGACAGGGAGGTGATGTGACTTGCCCAAGGTCACATGGTAAATGTTAGAGCCTGTATTTGAACTCCAGAGCCCACCTCTTCACTGCTAAACTGAGTCAGCATAGGCAGGTATTTCACAACAAAGTTCACTATGACAAACACATTGTGGAGGTCTTGTGAGTTAATTATGATCAACTTTTATTTGTATGTTCCTTGTGGGATAGTAGAAAGAATTCTGGACCAGGTGTCAGGGGACCTCAGTTTTAGTCCCGGCTGTATCACTAAATAGTGATGTGTCCTTGGGCAGTTCAAGAAACCCCTCTGGACTTCAGTTTCCTCACCTGAAAAATGAGGGATTTGGATGAAATTAGTGATTTTCAAACTACAGTTCTGAATTTCAGATGTCTTAGGTCCCCCTCCCGACAATTTGCATAGTTATGCTTTTGTCTGTAATAGCTGTTTATCCATCTGTCTAAGCTTTACTTAAAAAAATTTTTTTTTTTATTGATTTCAGAGAGTAAGAGAGAGGGAGAGAGAGAGGTAGAAACATCAGTGATGAGAGAGAGTCATGGATCGGCTGCCTCCTGCACACCCCCACTGTGCCCTTGACCAGAATCAAACCTGGGACCCTTCAGTCCTCAGGCTGATGCTCTATCCACTGAGCCAAACCAGCCAGGGCTGAGCTTTACTTTTAAGCAAGGAATTTATGAACTTGCTTTTAGCAGGGGTGGAGAACCTCATCTGATCTGGCTCTGCCAAGGCATTAGGGGTGCGTTAATTAAATGTTTGATGAAATACAGCAGGCTAACTTTTAAGTTGATAATTTTGTATGGCCCGAGAATGATATTATAAATATCTATTTGGTAGAAAAAAGGTTCCCCACCCCTATTTTAAAGTCATCAGCCTCTAAGGTAACTTAATGACAAGTCCAGTGACCACTATGTGTACAACTTCTCAGTAATTTCACATTATTTTAGTTGCTAAAGGAGATAAGCATCTTTTGTAAATAAAGATACTAAAATGCGAAAAGGTTGGCGAATTTTTATTAAAATATGTATGTACATGGACTAGATATTTCAAGTTATCAGCTACCAGAATCAAAGCCTGTTTTTTGTTAGATTTGTGACCTTCACCCAATATTTTTACTTTTAGCTTCCTCATTAATAGGGAGAAGTATTTGTTGCTTGATAGGGTGATTATGAAAAAATGTGAGTTAATAAAAGTTAAAGACCCTTTATAAACTCTGAAACGCTTATACAAATTCATCTATATTTTACATGCCTACATGGGAGTAAATATCCCTTTTAATTTTTAGTTCTATGAACTATGTTTTATTTTTATTGAGAGTATTACAGATGTCCCCCATTTCTCTCCCTGTGCCTTCCTCCACCCGTCTCCCACCCCCTCTGATGAACTATGTTTTTAATCACATCAGATTTTACTGTTTATATTTAATATAGACTTATCATAAGGTTTAATATTTCTAAGATGTGAATCTAGATTAGAAGAGAATTTTGATGGTTAAAAGATCTCCTTCTTTGAGATCCTTGTCAAATATACTTACCTTTTACTACTAGAAGTATAATTGATTCCAAAATTTTGCACATATCTGAAAAGTTAGCTATTAGGTCATTCAATTATGTAATACCAGAGGCCTGGTGCACGAAATTCGTGTACGAGTAGACCTTCCTTCCCCTGGCTGCCAGCACCGGCTTCCCTCTGGCACCTGGGACCTGGGCTTCCCTTGCAGCCCTGGCTTTGTCCGTAAGGTCCGGATGGACGTCCGGTCTAATTAGCATATTATGCTTTTATTATTATAGATTTTATGTAAAAACTGTTACAATATTGGGAAAATAAACTTGCCATTTTGTCAGGGTTTGGTTGTTTATGTATTTTAGGATGATCTGGTAGATACATTTAAGAACTATTTTCAAAAGAAAATTTTTAAATAACTCAATCCTATATAATAAAAGGCTAATGTACAAATCAACCAAACAGTGGAACGACCAGTCACTATGACGCACACTGACCACCAGGGGGAGATGCTCAATGCAGGAGCTGCCCCCTGGTGGTCAGTGTGCTCCCACAGGGGGAGCGCTGCTCAGTCAGAAGTCAGGCTCACCGCTGGCGAGCACAGTGGCGGTGGCCTCTCCGGCCTTCCCCCTAGGGCAGTGATGGCGAACCTATGACACTCATTTTTTTGGTTGATTTTTCTTTGTTAAATGGCATTTAAATATATAAAATAAATATCAAAAATATAAATCTTTGTTTTACTATGGTTGCAAATATCAAAAAATTTCTATATGTGACATGGCATCAGAGTTAAGTTAGGGTTTTTCAAAATGCTAATGCGCCGAGCTCAAAAGGTTCGCCATCACTGCCCTAGGGCTTCTGGACTGCAAGAGGGCGCAGGTCAGGCTGAAGGACCTCCCCGCCCCAGAGTGCATGAATTTTGTGCACTGGGCTTCTAGTAGTTTCATAAGAGTACTGGATATGAAAGCACATGGAATAGAAACTTACATTAATGTGAGACTAAAGAAAAATATAATACAACTTCTCTGAGCAGTCTGTCACTAAGATCCTGTTATTTGTAGGTTAAAAAAAATTGCCTATAAAGCCAACTAGTGTATGTAGAAACACAGTTTATATGTCTGTTTGTCTATTGGGAACTTTATAGTTTACAGGTGGTATTCTTTTCATTTCAGATATATTTTTTGAGTGCTCATTATGTGGTGGCCATTGTTTTTTTTTTTAACAAAAATATATATGTATTTTTTATTGATTTCAGAGAGGAAGGGAGAGGGAGAGAGAGAGATAGAAACATCAATGATGAGAGAGAATCATTGATTGGCTGCCTCCTGCACGCTTCACACTGGAGATCAAGCATGCAACCAGGGCATGTTCTCTTGACCAGGAAACAAACCATGATCTCCTGGTTCATAGGTCCATGTTCAACCCTTGAGCCATGCTGGTTGGGTCTGTTGTCTTTATAACACCCCTCTGAGACAGGCAGAAATTATTGACAGGTGGAGAAACTGAACTTGAGAGATTAGTTGATCCTTATTACCAGGTTCTACTAAATTAATTCTCCTTAACAAAAACCCTATGATCATGACTTTTATTTCAGTTTTCTGCCTTATAACATCTGTAGGATTTCATCTCCACTTGAATATCTAATAGCTGTCTCAAACTTAACTTGGCCCCAACTCAATTTCTTTTTTTATCCTTTCCAATCTTACTGATCTCAGTAAATGGTATCACCATCAACCAGTTGCTCAGGTCCCAAACTTCAGAGTCATCCTTGACTGCTCTTCTCTCACACCCATGTCTAATCCATCAGTAAGTCAGCTCTGCTTTCAAAATATATTCCAGAAATCTGACCACTTATCATCATCTTTACTTGTTTCACTAATTCAAGCCACTGTTATTGTTCATCTATATAATTTCAATAACTTTCTAGCTGATTACCTTGCCTATACTAGTGCCTCCTTATAGTATATCCTCACAGCATCTGGAGTTAACTTTTTAAAACCTAAAACATTTCAAGTCACTTGGTTTTTGTTAAGATTTTATATTCTGGTTGAAGTCAACTTGTTTAATTAGTTTTCAAAGCATTTGTCACTACCTCAGATTATATTTATGTGCTTTTCTCCTGCATTATGTTGTATCTCTTCTGTCTAGCTTAATCACTACTCTAGCCCTAGCTCTTTTAACAGTGTTTGGCCTGTAGTAGGTACCCAGTAAATAATTATAAATGAATAAACCAAAGTACAGGTGATACACTGGCTTTAAATGAGAGGGTGCCTTTATTGTAAGAGGAGGGAATCAAGAAAGGATGTATTAGCTTTATTAGAGGAGAATGGAGGAAGTTACTAAGTGAAGGCTTTTTACTTCTCTATGAAGTAGGAGGTATAGTCACCTGCCAGTAGTTGGAGAGGTTATGGGGCAGAGGTTTATTAATAAATTAAAATAATTAGTATGTACTCAAATATTTAATGTTAAACCAAAAGAATTAGTAAGCTGAAACAATTAGATGTCAGAGAAATAATTCTTGATGGTTGTGTCACTGGGAAGGCTTCTTGGTGATAATGAGTTTAGGTCAGGCTTTTCTAGACCACTAGGACTTGGATAGGTGGAGAGGTAACAAGGTATTGCAAGCAGGAAAAACAATAAAGATTCAAAAGAACCTGGGATGGTTTGGGAGATATCGAATGTTTGGTTTGACTGCTATAGAAAAGGAACCTGGAGAGGTCCAGTGACAAGTTTTGTTTTCCAGGCAAAGGGGAGCCATTGGAGGCTTCTGAGTAGAGGAGTAACATATTTAGAATGAGTACTCTGGAGATATTTTGCAGAATTAATTAGAAAGATGGGAGGTTTAAAAGATAATGCAGTAAAGGCATTAAGGTAAAATTGAAAAGGAAGGGATTGATTTAGAGTTGCTTTTTTATAAGAAAAAATGTCAGTACCAGAGTTCCTGGTTGTAGGCAGGGAAGGAGCTGAACAATTTAAATGTCTTGGAGTTTTTGACCTTGTGTGACTGAAGACTAGTCGTGTTCTTATAGAACTGCTGGACATGGAAGCAGGTGTGGTAGTAGTATCAGATATTACAGAGAAGGGTTTTTCTGTCTCTAAATATGAAGTCTTTGATAATTGTTTTAAAATTGTGGTTCTTTACTTATATTACTCCCAATAACTTGTCATTTTGATCATTAGGTGTTTCTTATGAATATTTATAGCTTCTTACACATGTTAATTGGAATCAGACTGATTTGGATTGGGAAGACTTATTCCTATTCCATTAGATTTTAAGAAAAATAATTAATGAGTGGTAAGGCAGAATATTTCCTTAGATCATATATTGCTGTTTATGGTGCATCACAATTTTGAAAGTACTTTCACTTCTGAGATATGGGTAGTTTGGATTTGCTATTCACTTATCTCTGTGTTTTTTTTTTTAAGTACAGTTAAGTTTGGTTTATTTTCAGATTATAGGAAGTGTTCAATTTCAGTACAATTATCCCATAATAATTGACTGGTTCTGATGTTCCTCCTGTTCTCTCATAGTATCTTGTGCATTACAGTATCTCTAAGCTCATTGCATTGGGTATATCTGTTAACTTCAGTAGGTTGTAAGCTACTAAATGGCGGGGGTGTGTTTTTCTTATCTTTGTATTCTTTGTTATATCTTTCGGTCATTTTTTAATTTACCTACCATTTATTGAACATCAGCTATGTCAGGCAGTTTATTAGTTATTGAAATTACAGTGTTCCTGTTTTTAAGCAGTATAAGAAGTGCTATGATAGATACATCTTATTTCAGGATCTGAGCTCATTTTTTTTTGTATGGTAGGTGAATACAGATGATGTTTTAGTTATGAAAATGCAATTAGAAGCTGTTTCATAAAAATTGCGATTATTTTCAAAAAAGTTATAAATTATATGTGAATCATCTGTTCTTTGGATTATTCATGTTACTTCTCTTTTAGCAGATAATTGAATGGACATTTCAGTTTTATACCTTCCAAGTTCACTTGAAATGGGTCATATATAAATATGTTAGATTACCATATTGTTATCCCAAATACTAGGTATAGAAGTTTTAAAATTTGTACATTTTAATTTATTTTCTTTGAATTCTCAGTGATTGAGTGGCCATTTGGTATTTTTTTTTTTACAACAGGAGAAATTAAGATCATAATGTAACTTGAATTTTTTTTTTTTTTTTTACAAAACTAAAATGCAGTATATAATAATGTTGGCCTAACCATAATTGCTTCCTGCCTTTGGAGTTTTATGAAAATGAAAATGTTCTGAGTATAACAGTTTTCTATTTATATTATGTGAAATGTTCAAGTTATGAATGATTGGAATTGAGACTTGGGTGCTCAAAATCAGTATATAGGCCTGCTGAATTAATTTTCCTCAGCATGAGATAGTAGAAATGATAAAAAATTTCTACTGTCTTTTAATGAATGGGTAGAGTGATGGATTTCACAATTCAGATTTTGATGTTTTGAGAGTGCTGAAACTAGTAATATACTTCCAATTATTTGAGTTATTTTAAGCTAAAGATGTTTCATGGTATTTCTTTTTTGGTCATTTAATCATCAAAAATACGAGCTATAAAGAGAACATGCCCATTCCTTTTTTTAAAATTTACATTTGTGATTTACCGTAGTTAATTTTTGTTGTTGCAGTATTTTCTGAGGAAAGGAGTATATCCTTAAATCTCATTATGTTAAATTAAAAGATGTCAAATTTTCTATTCTGGAACAGGATTTTACAGGTGTAACATAGTATCTGCTATTGGCTTAGTGTTCAGGTTTAAATATAAGTATTAATCAGAGATGAACTTATTCCTTGGGTTCACATTTAAACTGTGGCATGTTGAAATAATCTAGGTCTCCATCTGCACATCTGAATTCATTTTGTAAAATATGGCAAACAGCTGCATTTCAATGGAAAGCTAAAACAACTGTAGGACATTAACCCATTGAGAAGATTACAGTAGGTTTTCAGTTCCATGTTAACTGTATTTATTAGAGAAAATTGACTTGAGTGCTTCTGCTTTTAACCGACATTTTTTTTTTTAAATGTCTGGGAGAAAGGAAATAAAGCACTGGAATGATAGGACTTTGATGTGTAAAGAAGTTAATGTCGAAAGAAGTTAATTATCTAAATCATCAAACAAAATGGGTATGGGAAATAATTATTTTAAAGATTCTAATGAGCTATCAACTCATCATGTCAAGAAAAATCTTATTCACCTGTTTGATTTAAAAGTTAAATAACTTGACTGTGAAAGGATGATCGTGGTTATAATAAACTAGGATTGGGACCTTTTACCTCTTACCAATAAATACTCTTGATGTGAAACATTTGCAGTAGGAGGACAACTGAAGAAAGCTGTGGTTTTAATATGAATTTACTTTCTGAAATGTCTCCCCTTTAGAAAGTGTTAAAGCAGGGTGACTGGATTTGTAAAATGAAAAAAGGGCAGATTCCTTCAACAATGTCTCAGGACATTTGGCCACAGGAAAATCCCACAGAATGGCATGTCTTCAAATCCAACATGAGTGAACTAAGTCATAACTGTTTTTGGAGCCTGGCGTTAATACACAATCTTTGAGTTTAACTTTTTCTCTAGGATATCATACCTCTCTGTCAGTCTTCTGTTGGGACAATAAGGGAAACATTTTCTAAGGTCTTTGAGGAAGCCAGGTTTCTTTGTTAGCACTTTGTCTTGATTCTTCAGGACTGTTCCTGGAAATTCTTGGTTTCTTGTCTATTTTCCCAATCTTGGATTGGTGATGTGATTTTTTATTTAAAGCTGAGTTCCCATATTATTTGTAGAAAATTACTTATTCCAAAAGGCTTTTTGAAAAAAAATAAAGCAAATTTAGACTTAAAAAAATAATGATGGTGTTTCATAGCATTAGCTTCTTTATTTGTTTTAGAATTTTGGTTTTCAGGCTCAATTTAAGTGAAACTTTTTTCCTTCTCTTTCTCTGCTCTTGCATTCTCTGTCTGGTGGTTTTGGCCTGGCCCTTGGACTAGGCCAGGGCTTATGTTGGCAGATAGCTGGTTCTGCCACAGAAGGTTATTTCAGATATTTCCCATCTAGCCACTCAGCTAGTGTGCTCTTGTTGTAGATCCCTGTCCCATTGCCTTCTCAAAAGCTTTATATATGGCCTATGTAGGCAGTGGTTGGTAGTAGGTTTTTTCCCCCAGCCACCTTTCATAAGGCCCTGCCCTTCCATCCTAGCTCTTGGTGAATGGCCCTGGTTCAGGTTTCCTTTATCAATTTTAGCCAACATTACCCATAGAAGTGGTCATATTAGAGAATGTATCAGGAGATAAATTTGGCAGCAATGTGGAGAATGAATTGAGATGGAAAGAGAGAAGCTATAAATAGAGCTTATAAAGGGCCATAGGGTAGAAAAAGAGAGGGAGAATGTAAGAGCATAAAGTAGAATTTATTTGACCTCTAAGAACATAAAGTAGACTTTATTTAGCTTTCAATAGATTATAGGGTGCTGGAGAAGGAGTCAAAGATAAATGACAGATTTTTGAGATAGGGTGACCGGTAACAGTAGTGATGTCTGTAGTGAAAACAGAACTTACAAGGAAATTACTTATTATTTGTTGAATTGCATTAAGGTCTTTCAGTGAAAATATTCAAGTTTCTTAAATTTTTGTGATTATGAAATGAGAGTAATCTAAATTTGTCATAAAAAAGCTGTTAGCAAGTCAAGAAAGAGACTTCTTAAGATCTTTCTGTTTATAACAAAGCAAACATTGTGTGCTTAGAACTGCTGTAAACATATTAGTTCATTTAAGCCTCACAACAACACTAAAAGGGTGAAATTATTATTCCCTTTTTACAGATGAGGAAACTGAGGCACAGGGAAGTTAAGTAACTTGCCTAAAGGATAGCCAAGTAGCAAAGATGGGATTCAAACCTGGGCAGTCTGACTCTGGACTCTTCCTAATTAGTTTACTATAATTAAAGTTCTTAGCACTGCTTTATTTTATCATTTGTTCTAAATGTAATTCTTCTTTAGAATTTGCAAAGCATTTTTATTTTAAAGAAAGTTATAGTATTGCAAGGTTTATATGACCATGAATTAATAGCTAACATTTATTGAGCACTTACTGTGTAATAAGGTTTTTATCTACTTGCATTATTTTAATATTATTTTATTAATTCTTATTTATGGGACAGTTATTAAATAAAATGGGATATATTAGGATTAGCATCTAGTTTTCCCATTAGTGTCAGCTTAATTTTATTGGGAAAAAAGTCACACAATTTAAAATTGATGAGTTACTTAACCATCTCTATATATCTATCTACACTAATAAAAGAGAAAGATGCAAATTGACCGTACCTTCACGATGCCCACCAGCCAATCAGGAGTGAGTATGCAAATCAACCCAACAAAGATAGCAGGTTACTTTGCATACGCAGGCGCTGAGCGGCTGGGGGCGTGATGCTTGCATCGACGCAGGCGTTCCACACTGCCCCAGCCGCTCCGGGCCTCTGGGCAGCGTGAGAAGGCGGAAAGGTGGCTCCGGGTTGGAGTGAAGGCAGAAAGGCAGCTCCAGGTTGGAGCGAAGGCAGAAAGGCGTCTCCAGCCTGAGTGAAGGTGGTGCCGGCAACCAGGGGAAGAAAGGCCCATTCTTGCACGAATCTTTGTGCATCGGGCCTCTAGTCTATATATATAAAAGTCTAAGTGACCGAACGACCGGTTGACCGGCCGCTATGATGTCCACTGACCACCAGGGGACAGATGTTCAATGCAGGAGCTGCCCCCTGGTGGTCAGTGCACTCCGACAGCCAACCTCCCTTGGCTGGCCAACCTCCTGTAGTCCCTCCCCCTGGCCAACTGGCCCCAATTGGCCCTGATCAACCCCGATCAGCCCTGATCTCTGGCCAGGCTGAGGGATTCCACCCATGCATGAATTTGTGCACTGGGACTCTAGTAAGATTATAAAGTATCACAATGCTTTCTTCTGATCTACTGATTGACTTTATATTATTTGTATTAAGGCTTTGGCTCATATAGGGATTAGATTGTGCTGGGATTTTCTAATTTTGTATCTTACAGTTGTACAATTTTATTCTGTAAATGAAATCTCACTTGGAACTCTATTTATATATTGAGTTTTCTGGTGTTCTGGATGGAACTGATGAGGTATATGCTTGGGGGCCACTGGGAGCTCCCTGAAATAGTGCCAGTGAGTCTTAGGGCTCCCTGGAACACATTTTGAAAACCACTGAGCTCTATTAAAATATTTTAATGACTATTTTTCTTCCATTACTTATAAAATATGTACTGAAATGTTTTATCACTCAAGGGAGTAATTCTTTATATCATACATGTCTAAGCAGTTTTTTCCCACCTTACTATTCCTTTTTTAAAAAATACATTTTTATTGACTATAGAGAGAGCAAGGGAGAGGGAGAGAGAGAGAGAGATAGAAACATCAATGAGAGAGAATCATCGATGGGCTGTCTCCTGCATGCCCCCTACTGGGGATCAAGCCCACAACCCAGGCATGTACCCTGACCGAGAATCAAACTGTGACCTCCTGGTTCATGGGTTGATGCTCAACCACTGAGCCACACCGGCTGGGCTTACTATTTCATTTTAATAAAGAACATTAAGTATAAAAAAATCAGATTTACACACAAAAAATCAGAAATTTAAAATTTTCTATACTTTTTGATATAATTTATAATTGCTTTTGTTTTCCTTGCATTTATTTATAATTAAATACATTTTGTGTTATTTCTCTTTTCTATTTAGATGAATAATACTGCAGCCAGCCCAATGTCTACTGCCACTTCAAGTAGTGGAAGAAGTACAGGAAAGTCTGCAAGCTTTGCCTCAGAATTGCAGAGTATGATGTAAGTATGTCTCTGCATCTTACTTATTACTATGTTAAGTTATTCATGTTGATAAAAGACAATAGAAATAACATTTATAAAACTTAACTGGGGAGGGCGAGAGACCAAGATGGCGGCATAGGTAAACACCGCAGACTGCTGCCGCAAACAACCACTTCAAAAATACAACTAAAAGACGGAACGGACATCACCCAGAACCACAGGAAGGCTGGCTGAGGAGAGACTCTTCAACTAGAAGGAAAAATAACAGCACACCGAGGCTCAGAGGAGGCGCAGTGTGGAAAAAACTCAGGTGCGGAGGTGCGCGCGCAAAGCGGGCTGGTGGCTGAGAGCGCGGTTGTCGTTTTCGGTCAGGGGGGAGTCTCAGACTCTGAGCTCCAGATACGGGCGAATCGCTGGGGACTCGGACCCAAACGGGAGAAGCGGGAGTGTCTGGCATCAGTTGGAAGGCAGCTTTCCCTCCGAGGTTTGCAGCGGTTCCGGGGGTGTGTAATATGCTAATTAGACCAGACAGCCAGACAACCTTCCGGATGTCCTTCCGGACAACCTTCTGGATGAAGCCAGGGCTGTGGGGGCCGAGCCCTTGCATGAATTTTGTGCATTGGGCCTCTAGTAATTATATTCAAAAACCAGAGATTGGATGAGATGAGAATAAAATAAATGTACTAATTTAGGAGTTGTATGAGGTGAGTCAGTTTTTTTTCTAATTTACTGATTTTAGAGAGAAGAAGAAAGAGAGAAACATTGATTTGTTGTTCCATTTATTTATGCATTCATTGTTTGATTCTTATATGTGCCCTGACCAGAGGTTGAACACATAACCTTGGAATATCGGGACAGTGCTCTAGCCAACTGAGCTACCTGGCCAGGGCCTTGTGTTTTAAATTATGGAAAATGTTAAGGGTTTACGCTTTATACACTTTTAGTATATGTAGTTTATTAGTTTAAGTTTTTTCATTATGGTTTAGTAGCTTTATGTTAAGAATCTTTTATGTTGCCCTAGCCGGTTTTGCTCAGTGGATAGAGGATCGGCCTGAGGACCAAAGGGTCCCAGGTTTGATTCCGGCCAATGGTATGTACTTTGGTTGCAGGTTCCTCCCTGGCCCAGATCCTGGTCAGGGCTTGTGCAGGAGGCAACCAATCGATGTGTTTCTCTCACATCGATGTTTCTCTCTGTCTTTCCCTCTCTCTGCTAATCTCCATAAAAAAATCAATGGAAAAATATACTTGGGTGAGGATTAACAAAACAAAACAAAACAGAATCTTTTATGTTGTATTATGTTAATTATGTTTAAAAACATCAAATGTGTTTTAGAAGGTTTATAGTAAAGTGCGGAAATTTATTTTCCTGTAGAGAGCCAGTCCACCGATTTACTTTGTGTTTTAAAACATATTATATATAATCTACATATATTAAAAGCTAATATGCTAAGTGTCCATCCGGGTAATGACATCACATAGCAATGCCCGGCTTCCTCTCCCTAGTAACAACTAGCCGCCTTGCAGTTTCTTCAGTCCAGGAACATGACTTGCTTTATAGACAGGTGCAAACATTTCGCACTATAACCAAATATCTGTGAAATGTTTTCCCGTGCCTCATCTCATTTGATCCTCACAGAAGTCCTGGAGTAGGTAGATAGGAGACTCAGTGGAATCCTATTTTCTTTTCATTAGCTGGAAAACGGAGATTTAGAAAGCGTAGATACTTGACCTGACTGAAAATTTACACACAAAAAATCAGAAATTTAAAATTTTCTATACTTTTTGATATAATTTATAATTGCTTTTGTTTTCCTTGCATTTATTTATAATTAAATACATTTTGTGTTATTTCTCTTTTCTATTTAGATGAATAATACTGCAGCCAGCCCAATGTCTACTGCCACTTCAAGTAGTGGAAGAAGTACAGGAAAGTCTGCAAGCTTTGCCTCAGAATTGCAGAGTATGATGTAAGTATGTCTCTGCATCTTACTTATTACTATGTTAAGTTATTCATGTTGATAAAAGACAATAGAAATAACAACATTTATAAAACTTAACTGGGAAACTTGTACTTAAATAAAAATGAAATTGTCTGATAACATTTTCAATAACAATATGCAGACAAAAGGGGCAGCATTAGTTAAGAATGCTACAATTGTACTGTATTAGGAAAATAAGTATTGGTTTATATTTATAAAAGAATATGTAAATCTTTTTGTAAATCTTTTAGGTAAATCTTTTTGCTCTAATTATCTGTTATAAATTGTTTATTCCCATTTTAGATTTAGAAAATTTTTATATAGATTATATCCTAGCATAGTTGCAGTGTTTTCAGAGTTCTCAATTATTCTCAAATGTCACAATAATTCTATTTGCCTAATGTAATTTACTTTTTAGTTTTGATAATATTTGAAATCACTGTATTTCAGAAGATTGAGGAAAAAATTAGAATATTTAAAAAACACACTCAGTTTTTGAAAAGTTGCACAGTCATTAAGATTTCTTGCCTAACGCTCTTCTCCGCTTGATTTCTGGCTTCCTGCATTGAGTGAGACTGCATATCTTGATTTAATAGCATATTTATTGGAAATGTCAGTTGGCACATACTAGTTTTTCTTTATTATTGGTTCAGGAGACAATTACCTGCATGAGGGACAACACATTAGAACTCTTCTTTTCCTGACATGGATGCATTATTCCTGACATGTCCAGCAATTTTAAAAGAATGTTTCTTTTGAAGGTCTAAGTGTCTTCCTCCTGTGGGTGTGTATTGATAGCCTTCATAATGGATGGACTCCACTGTGTGGTATTTATTGTTCCAAGAAAAAATGCGTTTGAGCATATATCTAATACTTTTTTGGTGAACATACCTTAAACAACATTGAAAACATTTAGGTCACAGGTTATTAAACTTTTTGGTCTCAGGCTTCCTTTACACTCTTTATTACTGGAGACCTTGATCAGCGTCTGTTTATGTGGGTTGTATCTATTAATATTTATTGCCTAGAGTTTAAAACTGAGAAAAAATTATTTAATTCATTTGAAAATTAAACCTATTATATGTTAACATAAATAATATATGTATGCCCTAAAATCTATAATACTAAAAGTGTAATATGCTAATTAGACCAGACAGCCAGACAACCTTCCGGATGTCCTTCCGGACAACCTTCTGGATGAAGCCAGGGCTGTGGGGGCCGAGCCCTTGCATGAATTTTGTGCATTGGGCCTCTAGTAATTATATTCAAAAACCAGAGATTGGATGAGATGAGAATAAAATAAATGTACTAATTTAGGAGTTGTATGAGGTGAGTCAGTTTTTTTTCTAATTTACTGATTTTAGAGAGAAGAAGAAAGAGAGAAACATTGATTTGTTGTTCCATTTATTTATGCATTCATTGTTTGATTCTTATATGTACCCTGACCAGAGGTTGAACACATAACCTTGGAATATCGGGACAGTGCTCTAGCCAACTGAGCTACCTGGCCAGGGCCTTGTGTTTTAAATTATGGAAAATGTTAAGGGTTTACGCTTTATACACTTTTAGTATATATAGTTTATTAGTTTAAGTTTTTTCATTATGGTTTAGTAGCTTTATGTTAAGAATCTTTTATGTTGCCCTAGCCGGTTTTGCTCAGTGGATAGAGGATCGGCCTGAGGACCAAAGGGTCCCAGGTTTGATTCCGGCCAATGGTATGTACTTTGGTTGCAGGTTCCTCCCTGGCCCAGATCCTGGTCAGGGCTTGTGCAGGAGGCAACCAATCGATGTGTTTCTCTCACATCGATGTTTCTCTCTGTCTTTCCCTCTCTCTTCTACTCTCCATAAAAAAATCAATGGAAAAATATACTTGGGTGAGGATTAACAAAACAAAACAAAACAGAATCTTTTATGTTGTATTATGTTAATTATGTTTAAAAACATCAAATGTGTTTTAGAAGGTTTATAGTAAAGTGCGGAAATTTATTTTCCTGTAGAGAGCCAGTCCACCGATTTACTTTGTGTTTTAAAACATATTATATATAATCTACATATATTAAAAGCTAATATGCTAAGTGTCCATCCGGGTAATGACATCACATAGCAATGCCCGGCTTCCTCTCCCTAGTAACAACTAGCCGCCTTGCAGTTTCTTCAGTCCAGGAACATGACTTGCTTTATAGACAGGTGCAAACATTTCACACTGTAACCAAATATCTGTGAAATGTTTTCCAGTGCCTCATCTCATTTGATCCTCACAGAAGTCCTGGAGTAGGTAGATAGGAGACTCAGTGGAATCCTATTTTCTTTTCACTTGCTGGAAAATGGAGATTTAGAAAGCTTAGATACTTGACCCGACTGAAAAGTAAGAAATGGTGGACCTTGAAAATGACTTCAGGTTTTCTCACTGTGCAGAATATAGTAAAACACTGCGGCAGTTAAATATTTTACCCTTTTTTCTCCCTGCGTGATCTACAATAATAATCTGTTTCATGTTGATATTTACTGCTGTGTTGCTGACAATTACCTGAAAGGGAAGTTGGGGTGCTTTACTGGGCTGGAAAAAGTTTAGCTAAATCAGAAAGCAGGTCTAATTAAGCAAGTTTATTCTGCATATATAAAAGGCTAAGTTGACTCACGTATGCATGATACATATAAAGCTCTCGCTGGTGCCAGTCGCACACATGTGTTTCGATCTGTCATTGTCGATTGTGAATTTGGATGACACTTCTATTATAGAGAAAGTGCGAATAGCGATATTAAACTATTCCTTCCAATTAATTTCCTTTCATTGTGCATGAATTCGTGCACCAGGCCACTAGTATATATTATAGAGAAGAGTATAATGAACCCAATGCATCCATCACCTGGCTTTAACAATAACTGTGTTTTGCCAGTCTTATTTAACCTTTTTCCCTACTCTCCACTTGTTTTTAATGCAACAGTTTAAAGCAAATTTCAGACATCATGTGTTAAATTTGGTGTTATTTATTAAAGCAATATATTTGTTGGTACATAATTAATATGCTTTACAGCAGTGATCAACAAACTATGGCCATGTGCTCATAGACTGGCTGCCTGTTTTTGAAGATAAGGTTTTACTCATTTATCTATTATCTATCTCTGCCTTCATGCTTCATGGCAGAGTTGAGTATTTGTGATAGAGACCACATGGCCAGTAAAGCTGAAAGTATTTACTATCTGGCCCTTTACAGAAAAAGTTTGATGACCCTTTATCTATAGAAACAGGTCTCTATAATAATAAAGCTTTTTTTCCTTTTTATCATTTATACTTAGGAGAGGTTCTGCTTAATGCATTTGATAGACTGCAGGCCACTTAAGAAAACTGAGAAAAAAATAAAATAAAAGCTAAATTCAGCACTTTCTTATTAAATACTTTTGCAAACATCTTCCCTACTAATGTGCTTAAGCTGGATTCAGAATGCAAAAGTTATTATTGGCTACAGCTTTGGAAGAAATATACATTTTCCTTCTATTTCAGACCTCATAGAGAGGCTACTCCTAATAGTTACATTCATCATTTATAGTCTGAAGTTATTTTTTTCCCCTTATGAATTGCTTCATAGAGCAAAAAAAGTAGGGCCAAAATTGGGGGAATATTTTTTAATTTAACAATATTTTCTATTGGTATAAAGTTTTCAGGCTTTTGTTACATAAACTTAGAATCAATATACATTTGATCTTTGCTTATGTGATTTCAAATGAGAAAGTGTAGGCTTACATCTGTGTTCATTTTGTGTTGTAGGAATTTCATTCCGTGAATGCTGCAGTTTCACAGTTCTCTTAAGTCTGTTTGTGTTGTATTGCTATTTTTCCGTCCCTAATGCTACTGTCTTCTTCACCCATTCACCGCTAATGACCTGTTTTTCTCTTGGGTCCTACCCCTCCAAATAAGTAACAATATTGTAGTGACATTTCCAGGGAATGGTTTCAGGTATCTAGTTGTCAAGCACAAATGAAATTGTCATGATTTGCTATTAAATATAGAACTGGCAGCCAGTCTGTTCTGCTGTTGGAGCCTTGATAGAATTGACCATATGTAAAGTGTAGGTGGTAAATACTGCCAGTGAAGCATTCTTTAGGAAGTGCTTCGACAAATTTTAAGTGAAAGGATTAGCAGTTAAACTAATGCTAGTGGGTTGGGGATGGCAGCAACTTACAACTGTGCACATTTGCTAGATGCTACTTATCACCGCTTTTTTAATAACGTGTGCTGGCAGGGTCCAGAGGCCTTTCATTTTAAGTTACTGAACTCAAGTAACCTGTAAATTAAAAAGTGAAATCTTTTCAATTCACATTGCAGTTATTTGAACAAACTTCGTAAGAATTTTAGTTTAAATGCCCTTCAAGAAGTCTTCATTGGATTCTCTCTTCCTTATTTATTTATATGCTTCTGGACTTGTCTTACTCTTTTTCAGGTTTGTAGACCTAGCAATGATGGCAGAGTTTCACTGCTTGGTAACATTTAGTGATTTTCATGTGATGAAATAAAAAAAAAAAAGAAGATTTTGTTTACATGTTACCTGTATTTTGTAAGAATTCTGCCAAATGAAAATTTCAGCCTTATTTAAAATCCACAGATGAAAAATAATTTTTAAAAATCAGACCTTTATTTATATACGATAAAATTTAGTCTTTTAATTGTACGGTTCTGAAAATTCTGCATTTAAAAAAAATCAACACTATTGAGCCCATACATGGCAGGACCTAAGTGCCTTTAAGGTAGTCTGACAGTAGAGGAGGGTTGTGGAGACATAATTGTCGTGTGGTAGGATGTGATAAATTCCATAGCAGTACACAGGAGGAAGTGATGAACTTCTGAGGGTAAGCTTGCTAACTTTAGGTCTAATTCTGATTGCTTCCTGGAATGCCCATGAGCACCTCAACCTTGCTATGTCCAAAACTGAACTAATAATTTTCTCAGTAAGATTTGCTTCTTCTCTTGGGAATTTTTGGGATAATTAGCA